TTATTAAATAAAATTAAATTAAATGAATTAAATATATTAATCGCACGTCTTTGTATTCCTGTTTCTACATTATGAGATAAATCAGTAATAACAATTTACATAGAGACGAACAGAAGCTTATACCCGAAAGAACTAACAAACTACTAGGTTCAAACCTTTAAAAATCGCGCGAAAATGAGACGCATGCGCAAACCGAAAACCTTACACGTACGTGGCTCATGTGGCGCCCCGTAGTGGGAATGCTGAAACGCGCCAAATTCAAATTGTGCAGCGGTGTAACCGAAGCAACGAACAAAAGAATTTGATAACATATGTATAAAATATATATTGTAAAATGTCATTAATTACTATTTGCAATTACTCGTTTAAATAAATGTTTATCGTCGTTGTTACGCACAGGAGCATTGCTGAGGTGTAAAGCACTCGCTTTAAAGAATATATGTACTAATGAACAAATGCGGGATACTAATCAAATTTATCCTTAAATAATTTTATATAGAATCTTTAATCTAATTGGAGATTATTATTTAACGAAAACATATTGACACTGAATAATGAATATCAACGACGCTTGAACAGGCATTCGCTTTTCCTCGCTCAGAGAGTCTAGACGTATTATTTTGTAATAAAAGAAAATAGTTAAAACATTTCGTTCATTCTTATTCTTATCAAGTTCAAAAATCCATACAACACTTATTATTTTTAACTCCTTTTATAATGAAATTGACGGGCAATTTGTACACTTAATGAAACAAATTTCAATATAAAATAATTTGAATAAATTTACTTATAAATCTACTTTCTAATTCATACTGGACAACATTAAAACCTGCAATTATTTGTAAAATGTTTGAACAGACCATATACTTACAAACAATTCCATTTAAAGTCAAGACTTACAAAGGATGGAGTAGTAATTTCGCGCCATTAAAATATTTCGTTTATTTCTCGAGATATGAAAAATTATCGATAAACGTTGTATCAGCTAGACCGTAAAGTGCCAATAACAATTTTTTCACACACAGAGACATGTAAAAAATTACATAATCACTGTCATTTGTTTAAACAGCAAGTTTTAATTTTTTTCATCCTTAATCCAATGAACAATTTCAACGTCTTATTCGATGCAATACAGAGACGCTCTTAAGTAATAGTGGCTTCCATCGAAGCAGTATTACACTCGCCAAATTATTGAAGCGGCTCTTACCCCTATCTTTAGCATCGAATAACCATATACTATAGGTCGTTTAAATCGCCTGAATTGAAGGTTAGGAAAATATAGTATGCTACTTTAAAAAATGAAAATGAACCTTGGACGTTCCGACACGCCCCTAAAGTGGCATTATATGTATGTAGGTAGGCATTATATAATAATATTTCTTTATAACAAAGATACTCTGCGTGGGCAATGTTATTGTTCCATTCAGTATTTTTTTACGTTTTACCTTACATTCGGAAGTTTATCATTCTCAA